GCTCTGCTTAAGAGTTTCAGCTGGCAAACTTGGCCATGTCTGGCCATAACGTTAACGAACTATCATTCATTGAAGTCACATTCTCCTCACAGAAAAGAGTTAAGAGAAGTATATGGTACTGGTGCCTAAACTTGAGCTTTTCCTTGAGGACTTGGGGTTAGTCTGCTGTGATATTAAAAGACATGTCATGGGGACTGGTGATTTTAAGTGCACAGTTCAGGGAGTGATGTGTGAAATACACTGCTGTGCATAAGGGGCTTGATAATAGGAACTGAGAATATCAAGTCTGCATCTGAAGGATGTGGAGCTAATAACAGGCTTCCCTACGTTTGGTTCCAATCTTTGAGGCTGCTGTACCCTTTTGCCCTCCTTCTCCTAGTGAGCTGTTGCAGCAGCACTCGTGCTTGTTCTTTAAGAGAAGTTTGGGGTGGGTGCACTGTTTCTTCCTTTCTGCTCCCAGCCTTTCCTTCCTCCCCAGCCTGCAGCTGCAGGGGAAACTGTGGCAAACCATTTTGATTTTACCCTGAACTTTCTGTTCTGTTTCTGCCTTTGGGTGATTGCATTTGTTCTGCTGTCAGATTACCTCTGCCTGTGTTAAGAGTTTAAGGGTTGCCTGAAGCAGCACAAAGCACATTGCTGGGAAGTGGTTCCTTTACTGTTACAGTGGTTCTCTCAAACTTGCAAAGTAGGAAGTATGTGTTAGCATGACCAGTTCTCATCCATACTTACCAGGATGCCTTTGTTCCATGAGGCAGCTGTATCACTTCTAGGGCTGTTCTGGAGAGACAGCACTGCAAGTAAAGGCGTAAAGGAGGTTTGTCTAGTTCAATCAAGTGTGTAAAACTGCTTCATGGGTGAAAGGCTGTAAATACAGCTATTGCTGCTTGGGACTTGAAGATACTGAATAGGGAATGGGGGGATGTGATGTATGTCATGTTGCTGTTTGGGTAAATGTTAATCTATCGGTTCTTTCTTGGTTAGGATTTGAAAGACAGAGATGAAAAAGGCGTTCCTGTACACATCCTGTAGGAGTGTGTGTGGAGTCAGGCTTATTCAGGGAGGCAGGGTACCGCTTGTGTTAACAGTGCTTCGTGAAGAAACAGAGACAGGAGTAAAGGAATGGAGAAGGGGCTCAATGCATCCCTAAGTCGTGAGCCTGTCTTGGTTTTTGTATTCATGCATATGAACTGGAATTGCTTAACTGGGGAGAGTAACTCATGGGGTTTTTTAGCTGAAATGAATGCAAGCTTTCAGTTGCTATGTCTGTTCATAAACTAATTTTTTTTTTCTCTTCATTTACAGTTACCTTGTCTCATATCACACAGCTGGTTTTGAGTCACAACAAGCTTACAAGTAAGTATTCTACTTCCTACTTCATTGCAGCTGCAGAGCAGTATTTAAAAGCTGCTGCTACTAGTTTATTTTTTATGGAGTGAGTGTCACTACTTAGAGACTGGTGTTGGTGAAACACTTAACAGAAAAAACATTGAGGGTATAAACCAGCAGTCATATTCAACATTTCTTTCTGACTTCAAAACAAATTTTCCACGTACTAGAGTCAATTAGTCAACTTGTCATACTAGTGCCAAGTAGTCAAAAATCCATTCTCTATCTTTAGAATTTTTTTGAGCTGTAGCAAAAAAAAAACACAACAGTTTGCTTTTTAGGATGTGGATAATTCCTTTGACTGGAGCAAGTGAAAACTACAACTCAGCTGCGTTACATCTATAATTAAGTGGATGTGATGAAGGCCAACTGAATGTGTGCTTTGGGCATGAAAGTCAACCTGTCTTATTGACAACAACAACAAATCTTTTGAGTGTAAACTGTCTCTTGATTGTATTGCAGTACAACATCTTCAGTTATTACCCTCTGGATACTACTTCTCCTAGCCTCAATTGAGGTGTTGGTGGAGATCATATCATGAAAACAGACTCTCTCTTGTGAGGCAAAATAAATTATTTCTCTGTAAGAGAAAGCTTCATGCTTATCTGTCTTTTTTTTCCAAACACTGCTACTTGGCTTTTGAAAGACAAGCAGTGAGTTTCATCTTGTCCCTGTTATGGTGTGTCTTGTAAAGAGAAGAAAAGTCCTGGTTTTGTTGATGTTCTGCTTGTCCTTCTCTGTTTTCAGCACGTGTCATGTGTCTCACTCTTCTCTTTTTGAAACTGTTTTGAAACTTTTTAATTTTTTAAGAGTGTGGAAATGGAGAGAGGAGTGGAACTACTCAAGTGGGCTTGTATTGGAGAGCAGACTGGGCAGTTGTTGTAGCTCACACCAGGCTATCCCCAGAAAAAGCTTTACAGATTGAGAGTAGGGTGGAGGAAAAATAAAAAAGCAGCAACCAATCAAAACTGTCAAATTCTCAGCAATTTGCTGCATAAGCTGTAAGATAGCATTTCCCCTGCACACATACTAAGTCATGGCCTGAACCAGTGTTTGAGCACCTAGTAGGAAGGCAGGGTCAAGCCAGGAGAGCTCAGGTGCATGCAATGCCCTGAGTGATGGAAGTGGTGCAGCTGGGATCCACCCCTTCCTAGACCTCATTTAAGGGTTGGCAGTGGAGGTGAGGGAGTCTTGCTGGAGATCCCTGTGTACCTGAGGCCTCCTAAGGGTAAGCAGATTTTTTTTCCTTTCTGTGTCCATGGCTGTTGTATTTGAGCAAGTCCTCACTTGCTGCAGCCTAGGACCTTGCTACTCTGCAGTCATTGCTGTGCTATCTCGTTACAATCTGTTATTTAAAATGTATGTATTAACATGGAAATCTTGTTTAAGGATTTGAAAGTTCAAAGAGGATTAAGCACGAAGAAAGTGAAAATATTCTTGGATTCTACCATGTGAACACTGATTCTCTGGATGTTGTTTAGTGTAGTTTAGTAGTCATGAGCAGCTTAAATGATTGCACAAAGTAGTGTGAAATATGAAATAATATGGGTGGTATTTGAGCACCAGTGAGAAATATGAAGTAAGTATTCTAGGCTCTGTTCTCCTAGCTGTATAGTGTCCTCTTGACTTTGATTTCTTTATAAATTTGACCAGCGATTTCCTGCTACCTAACTTGCAGATGACAGGTGATGAGGAAATTTATGAGCAATGTTAGGAAAAGAAAATGTTAAGCACTGTTATTAAACACGCAGATCTACTTCTAGTTTATAAGGTCAGAAAGTTGCAAGTAGCTAGAAACTGAGAAAATGGTTTGGGAAAACATTATTATAACCTTTGGCTGTGAATCATCTGTTATCAGCCTCCGATGAAGCTTGGGCCACCAAGTCTGGGGCTTTTATGTTCCCTCCAGTCACTGTAAGGAGATGCATGTCTCTGACCTCAAGCTGCCTAAAGTTAGGCAGGTAGCTGTGCTCAGTTCAGCCACTTTAGTTCTGCAGTTTTTAGAGGGTTGTGGGCACCTTGAGACAGCATTTTGTTCTGCTCACCTCTATCTAAAACCTGTGTGAGAGAAGGTCAGATGACTCATCTGAAGTTGGGTTAAGTGAATTATGCTTAGTGCTGCTGGGCAGAAATTGGTTCTCATCTGTTGTCTGCTCTGATGTCTTTTGAATGAGTGCTGCCTGGCACAGGGATAAAATGAGCTGTAAGTGTTATTCTTGGTAAATATGACTATTCTTTCCCTTTTTAAATTTAATTCTAAAACTTCTGAATGCTAATAAACTTCTGAGGACTTGATTGTCTCTTCCATATGACACCTTACAAATCTTAAATGTAGTTGATGAGTGAGTTCAGCTGAATGCACAGCTGGTTGGGCTTATAGCAGTTAACGGTAATTCTGAGGAAGAGAAGGCAGGCTGAAACTCCTGCAGTGAGACTCCAGTCAGGGTAAACTTGTATGTCTGAGAATTGAGCCAGAAGAGAGAGCGACATCCCTCAGCTTAAATGCCAAAACTGCAAGCTATGTAACAAACCTATATCCTAGTTAGAAATTTTGGCTGAAGACCTGACTGAAGATATGTTAGTAAGAGGTGTCCAAGAAGAATGCTTTCAGGTTTTTTTCATTCAAAAAAAAAAAAGCCAAGCTAGACCTCTGTTTTGGAATTAGTTTTGATTTTCAAAATACTGGTTTAAGGGCTGCTGTATTCTACAACTGCATTATGTTAAATCTCTTTTTTTTTTTATTTTTTTATTTTTAATTTCTTCTTTATTCTAAAGTAGCCCTTAGACCAACAGGCTGCAAGAGAATATCTGTTCTCTCAGCCTAGAAATACTGTCCACCTGTCTATGTTTGGTTTTATTTCAGGGGATGGTAAAACCACTTCTCCTGAGAAGTAACTCGCCGTGTCTGAAAGTTCCTATTCTTTCACAGAATGATATAGACACTTAAATAGGCAGCACACATTTTAAAAAGGCTAAATTTGAAGTTCATATTTTCATATTTGACACTGTTGACCTAATCTTTTAAGCTACGTAATTAATTGTCTTAGCAGATTGCTCTTAAAATGTCTAGGAAGCAGGTGGCACTGACACTTGACATGCTACACTAAGGTCATATTAGCATCTTCTACTAGTTTTCTGCCATTTAAATGAGTGTTCTGCTTGCTGTTTTTTCTGCTGTTTAGAGTAAATATGTCTATCTAGAAGAATAAATATATGTAAAAATTGAATATGCATGTTTTATGTAACTGCATTTCATATTTTTGCCAGCAAACTATTAAAAGTAAGTAAAGTTTCATTAGCAAGTATGAGAATTATCCTATGAAGTTCATCATGTGTGCTTTTCTTAGTAATGTTTTTAGTATGCCATTCATACTGCTGGTGCTTCTGCATTTACCTGTCTGTAAATCACTTTTTATTTGAAGTACTCAAATCCACGTGGATTTTTCTGGAGGTTATAAGCCTTGGATTTTTGCCACCTGTTCGGTGCTGTGCTCATGGAGGAGCCTTGAACCGGCTGCCTCTGTTCCAGGTAACCTATGAAAGAGTAAAATTCATGCTTCTGCTGGTTCTTGAGAACTTTTTTTTTTTTTTTTTTTTTTGGCAGAACAGCTTCAAAATCAGAAGCAAAATTGTAGGGGAAGCCAAATAGTGTTTCTGCAGTTGTGTTGGACCAGTTGCTGTATAAGTGACAAACCTGGGATCATTCCATTTTGAGGTCTCCTGCAATGAACCAGTTGAAAGCAGAGGGAGAATTCAAGTACTTTTTTTAATTTTTTTTAACTTAGACATATGGGCCACTGTATCCATATGCTATAGTAGACGTTTTTTGTTCCATCATCTACTGGTTTCTAAAGCCAAGCCATTTACCTACTGTATAGATGGAAAAGCTGGGAAGCAAAATTCAAGACAGTCATGTTCAGGTCTAATCTGCATAGATTGTCTGGTCTGATCAGGCATCTCCTGAACCCACTGGCTAATATCAAAATAAAATGGAATAAAGGTCCTGAAAGTATTACGTACATCTGTGGAAACTGGGGGCTGAACAACAGCCCTTCAGTGTAATGGCTTAATTTGGTTAAATGTGACAAAGTAGTCACAAAATCTGGAAATTAAGTTTGAGTAACTTTGCTCGTAGGGTTACATTTTTTTTTTAAAAGACTGGATGTAGTGGATCGTAGAATTGCTGCCTGTGGGGCATGGAAAGGTGATTGTGCAGTAGGGAGCTGAAGTCAGCAGGGCAGATTAGACTTCACTGGTTGTTCTCTTTATGCCAGTGGGATTGTAAACAAGAAATAAAGCAATGAAGAAACTTCCTTTTTTAAAGGGAGCTTCTCAAACTGTACCCTGTAGTGGCACTACAGTCAAACTGTAGTGGCTTAGGCACTACCTGAGTTTGTTTTTTCTTGCAGATCACTATCTATGAACTACTTGAGCGTTAAATATGAAATGGTACTGAAAATTCTAGACTTCAGACAGCTAGCCCAATGTGAAGAACTGTCTGGTTACTTAGTGCATACAAAATTTCACATCCAGGTATAGTCACATTTATTATCTCTAATTGGAATGCTAGTTAAGATAAACTGTACTGCATTGTGAATGGGAAGTGTGCTTGAAGTTCTTTCAGAAGCCTTTTAGGTTAACTGCAGTCCAAGCCAGCAGAGCACAGAAAAACATGCCTAGAAAGAGGAGTGGGACGTTAAAAGATTATTTTAGCACTGACAGTAGGGGAGTGCTGGCCATCAGTACATGTACTGCTATTAGGCTGTAGGCCAACATGATGTGGTTTATTTTCACTTATTTTAGTAATACGCTGTAAGTTGTTTTTTTTTATGGTAGTGACTAATAATTATTTGACCTACGTACATAATAGATTAACTGATATTGTGATCATTTGGAGAATCCATTCAAAGGTTCTAGTGTTTTTATTGTTATCTGGGTATATACTTGGAGCCTGTGAGTATCTGCTCAGTGGAAATAGCAGTAATATATGGTTTGTCCATTAGAGGTCACTGTTTAAGTATCTTTAGCTTTTTACGTTCCTGAAAAAAGCTTCTGCCGTGCAATCAATTCAGTCTGACTCACAGGTAGCGCTGAACAGTAGCTCAGGTTTGCTCTCTTCCTCAGTCTCCTTAACCTCAGATGATCTTGTGCTTCCCAGCTTTACCATATGCTTCTGCTGCATTTAAACATCCTCAGAAGTTGTCAGCTATTCATAGCTTTCTCCTGACTATTTTCTATCCTTTTGCACTCTGATCCTTTGCCCAGTATTGTCAAGTGACCAAATGATGAAAGATTGGTAACAACTGTTTTGATTCAGAAAGCCCCCATGTGTGTATTTACCTGATGTCACATTCGCTGTCCTACTGTCCCTTTCCTCTGAGCTGCTGTCTGCTATCATTCTTTGCTATTTCCTAAACACTGCTTCTTTCTTGGTACTCAAGTGTAATGCTTAACTCCTAGTTATTTCCTTTTTGTAGGATAGTCCATTAACTTTTTGCTGTTGGTTTCCATTTCCTTATCTGAATTTTGTTCCTGAATCAACTTTCTGATCCTGCCAGAATGGCTTTATCTCATTAATTGTGTTCCTTAGTCAACCTAATAGTTACCTGTTACCATACTGGTGCGTTTCCCCTTCCAGCAGAACTTGTAGGGTTTTCTTGCAGCTCATACTGCTTATTGTTGCCTTGCTCTACCATCTCTTTCTAAATTGCTATGTTTTATCAGCACAAAGTTTGTCAATTCATTGCTATTAACCCTCTTGACTGTGTCCTTGATCTAGTTTAAACTGCTGCTGAATTCCCTTTCTGTCACTGGTACAGTAGGCTGTTTATTGTAGAAGTTACCTTTCATAGGCTGTGCTGTGTGCCCACGTGTGTTGGAGGTGGTATAGAGGCAGGTACCAACTGCACATCTCTCAGCACTGAAATGCACCAGCTGTTTTGTTCTCCAGACTGCTGAAATGTGCTGTGGGATCTCCCAAATGCCTGTGTACTCTTTGTCACTTCTTCCCCTGCTCGCTTTTGAGACATGTGCCACACTGTTGTGCTAACATGGTGCACTCCAAACGCAAGTGTGTTATTAGTGTAGAGGAAGCAAGGCAGTGTCCAAAGTGTTTTTGCCTGATGCAGGGAATTCTCAGCCCTGTTTAGGAATGTGCTTGAAGTTACTATGCCTCTTGCCCCAGTTGTAGATGCAGTTTGGATATACCTCCTATTTCTGGGACAAAGATCTCTGAAGGGAAATGTCTTTATGAATGCGGTGCGCAGGAGGAGATGAGAAGGAAAGCAAAGGAGATCCTTGTGCATATGCCAAACTGCATTTGTGACATCTGAGTTCTGCTCAAATGTTTAGATTAAATACCTTGTTAGCTTTTTGCTTTCCCCTGAAAAAAAGCCTTGTTTCAGAGAAAGTACAGATGGCAAAGTAATTCAGCTTTAAATAATAGAAGCTTGGGTTTTTAAGTAGCTTTGGGGAATGAAGCAGAAGAATTTATGAAGGATTATTGTTCTGTAATGTTCTGTGGGAGTGCCTCATGAAGTGTTCCTGGTCTAGCATAAATAGTTAAATTTTGTGATGTATGAAAATGGCTTTGCGTTCGGAGTTAGCGTACATCCTAAATGCAGCCCTGGGCACATATTGTTTACTTCTGCCATAACTCTTCTGAAACTGTTGCGTGTTCCTCTCTTTAAAAGGCACCTGCAAATATATTAGCTCATTTTTCATAAGTCTCAGTGTTTTCTGATGCTTCAGTACAGATTCTTTGTCTTATCATCTCCCCTGGTGGCTTAAAATATCTGTAATGGCTGTTACCATCGATATTTCTCCATGTGTTTGTACAAGTTGTAATGTAAAATTGTTAGAGATCTTTTGGTCAAAATAAGCTATTTTGAAATTGTCATCTTCAAAGCTAGTGAATTTGGCACAGATGAACTGATTTCATTGAGGAGCTTAATTCTGTACCATCCTAAAGAATTTGCTATCTAAGAAGTTGAATAGGTTCTTGTTGTTGATAAAACTGAAGGAGGGAGGTGTGGAGAGGTAGTCTGGATTGAGGGGGAAACTGTATGGATGTGGTTTTATATACTTGTCTTATGGTTCTTTCTTAGCTGTTCCTTGCTATCAGAGTGTAAGTATGATCTGATCTGACCTGTAACAAGGTGATGCAGCCTGTATTTGTTTTTGCATGCAGCAGAGCATTTTGTCTGAACTGCTCATGAAACAACTGCTAAAAGCTGAAATGCCGTGGTCCTCTGGAGTACTTGCATGTCAAAGTAATTCAAAAAGCTTTGCTAATCTTGCTTTCTTCAAGATAACGTGTAGAAATGAGGGATCATAGTTAAATCCACACTTTCATACCTGTGCTCACGCAGCTTATAGTATCCCTTAGTGCTATAAAATTAGCTAGCAAAAATCAGGTTTTGTGGCTTTAGTTCTTTACTGATAGATGACTTGTTTTCAATTTAGCAGTCCCTTCCTAACCTCCCTCCCTGGCTCTGAGTATTTTTCTCAAAGCATTTAAGTGCATCATAAGCATTATTTTCTGACAGGAATGTAGTGGTTATGCTAGATGTGACTTATTTCCCAGTGTTTTTCCAGCCTCTCTTGTGCTCACAGCACTTTTCCTTAGTCTCTGCCTTCTAAATTAAAACCATTTATTGGTAAATTGCTTTGTTAGCACAGTAGCACGTCAGTAGCACGTACTCATAAGTGTGTTTTCGTAACTGCAGTGCTTCTGTGGTTAATTGCAAAAAAAGAAGCGTGCTGGTTTCTGGGAAAACTGAAGATTAAGGAGACCAGTCCATTTTTAATGTTTTTAGTGCTTGGAAGGTTGGTATCCGTCTTTGGAGGAGTGTGGAGGAAAGGCAAAAGAGGAAAACTTGAACTACATGATGTGTAAATTAAGTACTGAGTGCTTCACTTGGGATGAGGATTCTCTTCGGTTAACTGCCAAGTATGATATCAGCATGCCCATGAATATTTAAAATGAAAACTGTTGTGTTCTCCCTCTGTTAATTCCCCTTTCATTTTGGTGAAGCTGATTGCTTCTCTCGGTATAACAGAATTCTTGTTAAATTAATCTGAACCTGACTCCAGCTCTATGAGTACAGTTGCACTGGATGCACGGAATGCATTATATATTTCGTATTTGAAATTCTTCCTCCCCCGTGAAATGTGAGTAACATTTCATGTGTCTGTGACCTTTACTCTAAGGGATCCTTACTCATGCAAAGTTCCTGTGGAGCTAACTGGATTAGCAACGCTCTGCAGTTTGTTACGCTGTGGCCCAAAGGTTTCCTTGTAGGTTTAAGCAGATTCTTGCTTTTTGGCAAGAAAATGCTGCTTGAGATCTACACCAGACTATGGCACTCCCAAAGTTCTGCAGAGTTCTCTTTACTCTCTATTACTCTTGACCTGCTTATAAATGGAACGGTTTAATGAGAAACTGGCATAGACTCAGTACTGCTTGTCAGAAAAGAGATTTATATTTTAATAGCTCTTCTGGATAAATATTCCCTTAGAACCTTTAAAGGTTCTACTTAATGTCATGTTCCTAGGTGCTGCCTAATTAGTTCATTAACTGGAGAAGCATTCTGGAAAAAAGAGTTTCTGCAGCTTGAAGTTTCTAAGGATGATAGCGTCAAAGAAAATAACCTTAAGTAATTAAAATCCTTATAAGTTGATGTCTGATTCAAAACCCGTTGGATTAAATGGGAGGTTTTTGTAACCTTTGAATAACATTTATTGAAGAGATTACTTGGTTCACAGTTTTATGAATAGGCAGGTGTTATGGATGCTGCTTTTCCAAGCAGCTGTGGGAAAATATTTATTTTGAACATTCAGTGTTGAGATATAAATGAATTGAAATGTTTCTCTCAGTTTACGTATCATGTACTCTGCTCCTGAAGGCTTGTATTTTCACTAACTCAGTTCCCTCCTCCAACTGATAGTTCATCAACAGTATGAGCTGTTTTCCTTCACAAGGTAGAAGTAAAATATAAATTTTGATTAGTCTTCTACAGTTCTCAGAAATGTTTGAATTAATGTCAATGCATACTAAATGCAAAAAAAAAAAAAAAAAAAACCACAAAAAAAAACCACCAAAAAACAGGCTGTGCTTCATCTCATAGATGAAAAACAAAGAGAGACTTAATCTTGCAAACACCTGAGTTTGTTTACATCTAAAATTGTGATGTTTCTTTTTTTTTTTTTTTTTAACTGTTTTCCAGTGCTCTGTAGAATGATCCGGGAGATCATTCTCAGAAATTGAGACTTACCAGAAAGCAGGCTCATTTTCAGCTGTGAAGGGCTCTGCCACCTTGGAGGAATTGTATGGAAACCCTAGTCAAAGACAAGAGAACCTCGGACTCCCTGCTTTACTGGGAAGGGTTACATCTGAGATAAATTGTACTCCAGGGTGCTTTAACTGATACAAATGTTCCTAGCACAATAGCTGGCTCAGCTAAAAGATCCAGCTAACCCAGTATTTATTCTCCAACAGAGGGCAACATCAGACTTTCAAGTAGGTAGTCTTGTGATGGCTGCTGGCTCACTGTGTGGAGAGAAACTGAGATCTGGGTCCAGGACACTTAGATGTGGAGCTATACAGGTTCTGAACAGTGGTGTTTAATTTACCATATGAATGTTTTGGAACTCATAGCAGAACTACTGAACAGCTGCTCTTACATAGGAATAAAGTTATGCTTTGAGTGAAAGGCTGCCCTTAAGAGCTATTTTCATTCCTGAAGAATTGTCACTAATGTCAGGGTGAAAAAGAGCCTGTTTGTTCTTAAATCCTTTGAAGTATAACAAGTTGCCAATATTTATTTGCAGGAGCATGAAGAAAGATCTCTTGCTGCTTCACGTGCAGCTTGTAGACTCTACCTCTCAGCCAAGCTCTTGAAATCAAGATTAAGTCTATAGCTGTTACAGTGAATCTCTGTATGCAATTCCCAGTGTTGAACAAGGGGAAGGAAGCTTTGTCTGGTCTTGCAATGTGAAGCTTAATATGAATGGGGTTTTGTGATGTGACTGAAGCTTCACGGGAAAATGCAAAGCATTGGGCTGCAAACTTTTACTAGCATTTGCTGGGGAGGAGTTTAGTTGTTAATGGCATTGGGCAGCAGATGGTCTTAAAGGAGTTGCTAAGACTGCGGATCTTACTGTAAATATGTGGGTGAATGGAACCAGGATGCTGACAGTTCATTCTCACAGCTCATCATGCGAAGGTGACTCGAGTGGAATTCAGAATTGCCAGAACTTGAATTTCTTGGTATTTGGCAGTCTGCTGTAAGTCTGTGAAGAACTCTGCAACTTAGCAGTGTGTTGATAGTAAGGATGTTTAGTCGTGCAAGGCTGAGATGAAAGAACATGATGCCTCATCAACTTTTCTTGAGTGTTGCTCATCTCTTGACGTGACAGTACTGAATCTGTGTAGTTTAGTTATGAGAGCAACACTGGAGTTAATTTCAGTCTTCTGCTTCTTAGAATCCATAGAGCATTCCTTCATATACAAAATGAATCTAAATTGTTGAATCAGAAAATAAGCCATGGCAGAAAAAAGGCCCTTTCTCCCCTGCCACAAATCTCAAGCAACCTTTCTGTTTTCCCTCTCACAATTTTCCTTCTCACAAAATACTTCTACCCCCTACCCAATTAATATATATATGTGTGTGTGTGTGTGTGTGTTGATAAGGGCTTTATTTTTGATTTAAAAGGCTGGCACAAAGTATTTCATCCAAATCCTTTGCTAAAATGATAGTCTTTTCCATAACCTGCTTAGCTAGGCAGTTTTTAGTATAGCTTGAAGGAAATAATAAGAGGAAGTGTAATATAGTAGTATCCTAAGAGTGATTCACAACAGTATGTGGGAATTGTACAGATATATTGGATACCTAGCAGCCACTGGGCAAGGGTACAGCTGCTCTTGTTCACGAGGGACACTTACTCACACCCATACCCTGACAAAAGGAAACCAAATTAAAAATCTCTGATAAACTAGCCACTGGATGTTAAGTTTTCCCCCGTGTTTGCAAGTGGGATGAGTGGATGTAATTTGAAACTCTTCAGTGTGTAACCCACTTAAACAGGTTCCTCCAGTACAAGTGCAGACTGCAAGAGCAAATCTTGGGAAGCCATTCTCTTCCTGTCTCAGTATCTAGGCGTTGTCTTTTCACAGTTAGTTTCATGTGGGGTTTTACTGGTAAAATGAAGACTTCTATTTTTGAGGGCTGTTCACCTTCTTCCTTGAAATGATTTCTCCTCTACAGAATCTCATAGCCCAAGTCAGAAATGAGAGGCAAGCTCAAATTATTCATAAGGGGCAAACAAGCTATTTTGAACAGGTATTGGCAGAGGCAAATCTACTAAATCAGCATCATTGGTTCGAGGTAATCCATAACTCTGCCAGGCCACTGAGAGGGTACTTGTCCCTGTGTTTATAACGATAGTACTGATCTTGATGCCAAGCATGCTTTTAGTTGACTTTTGAGATCATTTTTCAAGTGTTTTGTGATGGTTTTCAGCCTGAATAGTTGAAATGCAGAACTGACTTGCCCCAGTGAAGTTAGGTTTGGTAAGGCTTGTTGCTGAACTTGAAGTGGTTTCAGTGTTCCTGCAGCCTAGCTCTGTATTACATTTAGCGTAACTTATGGTGTTAGATTGAACTGATTTCTCTAGGATGGTATAATCTTTTATGCTGTCAAAATGGTGAAAGTTGCTATTAATTGTATCAACAGTAAAACTGAAGGAAAACTGCACTTGATCTCTGAATTGCTTAGGCTTTGGGACTAAACTTAAAACCTGTATTTGCTAATGTGTCTGTTCCCTAATCTTGCATGAATGTAGCATCTCTTTGAAAAGAGCAAAAATGGTTTGCCAGTCCATTATGTCTCATCAAAGTCAAATTATAAAGTCTAATTTCTGAAAAGAAAACATTTTAATAGTGGTAATTACTGTTCTTTTGAAATATTGAGGCTGGAAGCAGCTGAATTATGTCAATTAAAATCCTTAGTTAACTTCTGTTAGGGAATAATTTAAAACAATGGTAGCAGTACATTACCCTTGCCTTTCTGAAGATGCTTAATTCTTGCCATTGCTGAGTTATGGATACGCATGGACCAGTTGAAATATACCACAAAGGGAAGGCTTTTAAATATTAAGATTTGCCTTAATGACTTAATAAAAAGTATGTTAAAAATCTCCTGTGATGAATATGACCCTCCATAGTAATATTTATGTAGTATAATTAAAATGTTTGTTAGGGAATCCCATTATTGTGAACAATGTAATTACACTTATAATCTAGTAGATGTGACGCGCTATAATGGTCTGCTTTGTAAACATTATTGATTCCATTTTAAGACTGAGATTGCCTCATGCCACCAAATAAATGCAAATCATGGCCTCATAAAATCTTCCAATTATTTAAATGTGTGTTCTATGGGATCCTGCTGCAGTTTTAATTAAGACTGAGCCAAGGTGAATATTGAACACCAGTGCAAGCTTCAGTGCAGGCTGTCTGTCAGCCTCCTTTTATGTAAACTTTAGTTATAGGGGGAGAAGATGCAAATCTGGGGAGTGTTTTAACCTCATCTGCACAGGCACATCCTTCTGCCTTACTGTTCATGTTTCTAAATTACCAGGCATTGATTTGTGTGCAATTGAATGTAACCATGTATGTGTATTGATCGGATACTCACTCAGTGGAGGGAGGTAGTCAGTAACTGGCTTGGCTAAACTGTTCATCTTTTAGGGCTGAAGTTAAATTTCTGTAATCGCTGTTGAATATTAGCAGATAGGAACTTGGATGTGAGATTATTTGAGCAATCAGCAGGTCCGTGAGAGAGTTTGTTGTGCTTGTTTCTCTGTTGTGGCTTTCCTGTAAGGTACTCTGGTCAATAAGAACAGCTGTAATCTTCTGAAGAGTACCAAGTGATTCGTGTTGGTAAGGAGAGCTGGTGCTACATAGGAAGCTTCTTTAATACAGGCATTCCTTTAATTGCAGGTAGCTCTTAGCAGCTGGGTAGAAACAACATCTATACAAACAACAGAAGACAGGTGCTAGTGGAGCCTGTAGTCTGTGTAGCTTGCCCTAACTGCAGTCTCTTACTGTGAAAACTTTCTCACAGCTGTGCCAGCAAACATCGCAGACCTGAGAAACATAGAAGTGCTCAACTTTTTCAACAACCAGATTGAGGAGCTGCCTACACAGATTAGCAGCCTTCAGAAGCTCAAACACCTGAATCTTGGGTGCGTATCCTAATGCTAAAACTTGCTGTAATGGAGATGTTGTCAAAGGCTATCACAGCTGAGCTTAAATCTTATTTTTGCTATTTAAGTTTCTTTTTGAAAATGTGATGAGAACTTGAATGTAACCATGTATGTAACTCTTGACTATCTTGTTGAGAGTGCTTAGCTAGTGTTCTGGATTATCAGATACCTAAGAGTGATCAAGCATTTACTCTGATATACTGATAACTATTTAAGGGCAAAAAGCAACTTTATTCACCTAATGCTGAAGTCAGACCCAACAAGTAACGTATTTTACTTTCTTAACAACTGTCACTTAATTCTCTGACAAGAGCCAGCCTTGATTTTTATGCTCTGCTTTGTAAAAAGTTAAAAGGAATGTTAAATTTTGTATGTTAATTTGGGGCTTTAATTCCAAAGACACAAATTTGTGATTAAAGAAACTTCAATTTTAATTAAATCTATAGAGGCAGCTGCGAGTCCTTGTTGAATATGGTATGCATTTCATTCAACAAGATGGTACTGGCTGAATTAGAATCAGAGAAACTCCTGTTAAGTGTTCAGGTACCATATTCAAGTAGAGTTGGTGACACTCCATTATAACTACAGTAGAAGAAGACTTTCTTGAATTATTAAAATGAACCTGAAATGAAGTTTCTTGAAACTAATTGGATACATTAAAGTGTAGCTACTTAGGAAAGCCTTGGTGAGGAGAAGCTTTAATTTTGTAGGCTTCTCATGGAAAGAATGTTTGTATTATAAATTCAGCTTTTGGAAACCTTAATTTAACTGAGTTTGTTTTACTATTTGAAATATCTAATAACTTTGACTAGGCTTTAAGTATCCAGCTTTGGGTACTTTAGTAAAGTGCAGATAATTGAATTGCTTCCTGAGCTGTTGGCATGCAAAGAAACATTTTCAAGATGATGTGTCTTGTTGGGTCTTCATTTGATCACTTTAGATCTCTAGCGGGCCCTAATAGCTGTCTGAACTTGGAAATGATCATGAATTAATATTTGCTCTGAGAATTGGAACTTTGCAACTTGGGGTTTGGCCATTTTAGAAAGGCATATAGAAGTGCTGCCTTCTATGGAGGGAGGAAGAATTTGAGTTCTTTCCGTGAATTAGAGAAGTGACAAGTGTTAGCGTAATTCAGATATGGGTCTTCAACACTTCTCCTGTTTTGTTTTGTTTTTTTTTTGTTTTGTTTTTGCTTTTTTTTTTCCTCCATTAATGTCTTTTGCAAGTCCTTTTGGGATTAAGAACAGGAGATATTTGGGAACAATTTGTTACTTAACAACTGGTGGTTTAGGTCTGGAACTGCAATGTCTACAATTGTAGAATCATAAAGTATTCTGAGTTGGAAGGAACATGCAAGAATTTTGTAATTTAAACGGTCTTTCTTGAGGTCTGCCATCCCCCAAGCTCAGGATTTACAGCCTGGAGTATAGTTCTGCAAAATGGGTTCAGAAGTTCTTGTAGTTAATTTAAGGACTAACTGTTCTGCTCTACTAGTGGGGGTGGGTGGGAACCCTCTTGTCATCTGCTGAGCACATGCGTACACTCAAGGCATCAAAACAGCCTGCTGTAGGAGAGGGATAGCTTGAGTAAGAATATTTCTGTGAGGATTTCAATGCAGAA